GGGAGGGGACCTTCCTCAGGGCAAGCCTGGAAAGAGAAACTTCAAGGGAGCCCCACACTCAGAGAATCTGACTTGTGTGCCCTAAAGCTTTGGAAGACACACTGGCCTGGTAACTGATTCCAAGGATAACAAACTCAAGGGGCAAGAAGCTGAGGCTGTCAGGCCAGACAGCAGGACAAAAAAAGTAAGAACCACACTGGGAGTGAGCTACACTTTCACTAATGGGAGGACAAAAGGTCAAATGAGTAAGAAAACTAGTCTGTGGCTGGAGCTAGCCATGAGAGCAGGCAGTCCTCCATTTGGCATGGCAAGGATCTGCGAGTTTCCGCAAGTCCAGCAGATACCTTGGAAAGTAATTAGGACTTCCGGGGCAAGAAAGCTGCGGTAATGGAGCAGAGGGCACTTCCAGGGGCAGGAGCTGAGGTAATGACTCAAGAGTCCAGGATAACAAAACATAAAATACCTAGACATACATAAAAATAAGCATAAACTACCTTGTAAGTTGAAAAACTAGAATACTCTAGAGAGGGACACACACACAAAAATTAAATGGAGATACATACCATGTTGTGGGATGGGAGCACTCATTACTTAACACATCTCCCCCCCCCAAAAATGTTAAGATTTCAGGGGGAAACTGACCAAATAATTCTTTAGTTTATGTACAATAAATATGTATCCCTGAATAAATACATAAAAGCTGAGGATAATCTGAGAATTAACAGAAAGAGTGGTAACTTACTTTTACTTGGTATGAAAAACCCTATTTTAAAATTATAGCAGGTGGTATTGGCACAGAAATACATCAGTAGAACAAAAGGGAACGTTCAGAAATAGACTTTAGTATATGATTCAGTATATAATTCAAATCACTGGGGGAAAAAAGTCAACGAATATTAATAGGACAACTGGCTAAACCATTTAGCAACTTAATAAAAAAGATCCACCCCCCAAATCTCACTCCTTATACTAAAATAAATTTCAGATGGATTATAGACTTACGTGTTTTTTTTTTAAACTGTTGATTTAGATTTATTACCTTGAGACTGGAAGGTCCCTCCAAGCGTGGCACCAAAGGCAAAATAGATTAGGAAAAGACTGATGACTATCCAAATGTAAAGTTTTTGTGTGGCAATGTTTGACACAAACAAGGTCAAAAGGGAGATGATAAATTAGAAAATTTGTTTACAAAATATATGACACCTAGGGAAAAAAAATTACTATGATACAAAGAGATTTTCATATCAATAAAAGACGAGCCAAGTACTTGAGAAAAAAAATAATTCACCAAGACAGAATTGCAAATGACCAATCCACATGCAAAAATAGAGATATGCAAGTAAAACACTGAGTCATCATTTTTCACCCATCAGATTAATCAAGATGAAACACGTCAACAGTGCCCAGTGGTGTTTGAGGCTTTCTGCTGGTGAAAATGTCAACTGGTACAAACTTTCTGTTGAGATTCCTCTGACAATATGTAGTAAACACAAAATGTATATCATTTTCAATTTCATTCCTAGGAATTTGATAATTACATACATATGAATTGTATAAGGATAGCAAACGTCTGGAAACATTCTAAATGCACCATGCACAGAAGAGTATTGGTTAAAGAAACTACAGCACAAACTTTTAACATAGTCACTATTGACATAAAAAATAAATAAATAAATGTGCCCAGGAAGGAAAGAAACAATAGTACAAAACATGTGTAGTTGAACCCCACTCTGGTAACCCTGAGTTGTGTGCAAAAAGTATGGATATGCACCAAAATGATTCATTCATTCTCTTTCTCAAACAATGAGCACACTGCTTTTTTTAACTGATTTGCTTCAATGTATCACCTGCCCACAAACTTGGGCACAGAAAAAGCCACACCCTCTTTCCTCTCCCATATCGTGCACTTCAGTTCAGTGACAATGGTTGTGGCAGGCAAAAGGCCCCCTAACACACTATTTGATTGACTACTACTACTGATACTGATTTTCCCTCAGATGAATAGAATGGAAAAATAGAAGGCTTAGAAAATCTGAATGTGAGGTTAGCAATAAAAAGGGAGCACTGAGAATTCTTTTTTACTTCCTTTAAAATCAATTTAAATATTAACTTGATTCCAAGCTAATGTGGAATTGCAAGATAATCACTTCTTCTCTGGTCTTGGTTAAGTGCCCAGCTACAATTTCATTTCAATTTCAGGTCTTGAGTCAGAGATGGGCTATTACCTATTTCCCCTAATTAACTTCCATCTGTTTGGTAGTTTGTGTTCTCTTCTAGAAGTGATGGAGGGGCGGGGAGATACCATATAGTGAAAACATAGATATAAAAAGGCCTGTGTTACAGTAGTTAAGGACAATGGTTCAAATATGTTTGTGTGTGTGTGTGTGTGTGTGTGTGTAGGAAATGCAAAGACCTGATTCTCCCCAAAACCAAAAGCGTTGTTCAAAGGTTAGCTCAAGGCCTGTTCAATTCCAGGAATGAAGACTAGACTTGCAGTCAGAAGATTTGACCCCAAAATTCAGGTCACATACCTGTCTGAACCCATTTCTCCATTCTAAAGTGGGGAAAATGGTAACCCCTGACCTTCCCACCAACCACAACTGTCGTGAGGAGGGGATGGAAGAATGTGTGTAAACAAAAACTCCAATGAGATAAATCAAAACTACAGGCATGCACACACACAAATCAGCCAGGGAATAATCAGCCCCCTAGCTGGGCAACCCCCAATTTTGACTCTTCATCTAGAAGGGAGCACACAGCCGGGTCTCAGAGCTCAACTCAACACACTGTCCCCAAGACAGTTAATAAGGGAAAGATCCTTCCTCCACCCCCAGCTTGGACCTAGCTTTATGTAGTGGCATGCAAAACCAACTCCGAGCGCTGCCCTACCGGTCCTTCGACAAACAGACCCTGCATTCTCCCAGGAGGACCCACTATCGCTCTCCTGAGATGCCCTCCCCACCTTAACCATGAATTGGCTTGGGAAAAAAAGAACAGTCTTGTGGCAAAGCTACCACGTGAATTTAGAGAACTTCTGGATGCCCTCAAGTTTATGAGAAAACAATTAGAACTGCAGAAAGATGGCACATCCTCTTGCCAATGCTCAGCACCCGCTCTTGTTAAGTAATACTACTGAGCAACTCTGGGCTGTCATTTAGAACATTCATAGGCAGTGAAAAAGTCCATGTTTTTGTTATTTTAGTATTCTTTCATAAACTGTTCTGTACTTCCACACTATACCCACAAGTACATTTTACGTAATATTTTACTCAATATTTAGTGAGTTATTTTAACTAGAAGCTTTTGATACTAAGCAAGTGGGATTTCTTCCTTTCAATGACAATTTTGCTAAGCTCCCCTGTGGACCACAGGAACTTCTTTGGCAGCTAATTCTAAAGCTGAAAGTTAAGGGGGCTGCAGAAACATATGGTGTTTACAGAACCAGTAAAATAATAATAATAATAATGGGAGTTCAGATTCTCTTTTGGATAGAGGAGGCTTTCAGGAAAATCCTTACTCATCAGAGACCCTACCCTACACTAACCACGATAATGTGTAATGATTCCAAATTTCATTCAAAGACTGTGAAAATACTATGAGCTTGAATAGTTGCATATAAAAATTAAAAGTAGAAAGCTATGTGTATTAGTCTTTTGAGAGCTCGACTCTGTAAGTCACCTAAGATGAGAGCACGAAAGGTTCTAAATGCTGATCCTAGGTTATAGTCCGAGGTGGTGCCTCAGAGGACAAAGGACAATTATTCCGAATACTGCCGAATGCTGATGGGGCCTGGGGCTAACAGCTGTCCCTGAACACCCAAGTGTCAGGAAATCACTTCCCTCTCTCTGACTCTCCCCAGTTGAGGGGATATACTTTGAGCCAGGTCTCCCAGGGCAGGGCAGCTTCACAGACAGTTTCCACCTGTTTCTATTGTTCCTCTCGTTTCCTCCTCTGCCCACCAGCCCAGACCACTCAGATCTGACCCTCAACGAATGCCCAGTGAGCTAGCGGAGAGAGAACAGAGCCGCCCACCCCGTCAGGAACATTGTCCCTCTTCTGCAGGACTGCAACCCTGCACAATTCCAGGGCCACGTTCATATACACTGCGCCCGAAGGTCATACACTAGAACTGTCCCCTGCTTGCCTCCCCCAAGGTTTTTATTCTCCAGGCCTCGAAAAAGAGGGAGAAGAGCGAGAATACCATTGTTGCCTAGGAGAGCCACATGCCTCTGCTCCATTCGTTTCTTACTGAGCCTTGGAGTCACACCATCAGTTAGGGAGGAAAGTTAAAGAACACTGATTCAGGCTTTAAAAGTCCAATCTAATACGCCCATCTGTAAATTCAGCAAGTTGAGAGCGGGCCCAGGACAGCTTACATCTAATGTGTCCTGGTTCATGATAAAGTAACAGCCATAGTCACTGAGGCTGTAGGTAAAGGGGAAGATCACATAACTCACATTCTTCCCCCTTCCCTGTAAACACATGGGCTGGCCATGGGCTTGACAGTGTTTCAGCCCATTGTTACTACATGAGCACCAAATCTAAAGGAAGACAAGGGCATTTTTAGGAGAAAGTAATGAAAAAAGTTAGCCAAGACTGCTATAAAACTTTGGTGTGGAAGAGAAGAACTGTCTAAATTAACAGAATATTTTTATTTTAATGAAAACTTATGGCTTTTGAATACCTGTAAGACCCATGGATCTGTATCAAAGCAACGCTGCCTAACAGACATTGCGGGGAACTTACTGGAGTGGCCAGGTTAGTATACTTTCTATTAGTATGTCAATTAATTATAGGAAAGGGGTTGCTTCTAAAATGTTTGACAAGTTGCCTCTGTCAATGATCTCTATCCTTTTCGATGACCTCCTTCATAAAGGCAAATTCTAGCCCAAACTTAAGTCCATCTCATTGCTCATTGTAAAAGGATGGTTCCAAATCAATCCAGAGATGCTATAAAGGAAGGTGCAGAGACTCTCTTGCATTCAATTTCCAGAAGAGCTGACTCTCAGGAATCACTCAGAGGAAGACAAAGGTCCAACCCACATGATCTGTAGCCTGTGGTCAGTATTACACTCTCTTTCAAGGGTCTCAAGTACACGGACACAGAACTGGTTGTGTAGCAGGCAAAGAAGACGTCAGCAATTCCTGAGTTTCCTCCTCTTGGGGGGCATTCCACAGAGGTATTCACCATCTTGAATCCAGAAATGGGGCCAAGCTGGGGATGGAAAAAGTTGCAGACCCAGACACACCTGGATGGAAGCCACACGGGGCCTCTGTGTAGGCAGGCCCCTGAGAAGCTGTCATAACACCTGCCCCAGCAGCACTGCGTCCCCCACACGTAGCGCCCATCTGCAATCTAGACATGGAGGAGGAAAAGAGTCCATTGACACACTTTGGTTTTCCCTTGGTGCATCTGTATGCGCAGCTTATGTACCCTCATGGGAAGCAGTGTGGTAGATCATCCACCACTCTGTGAGTAGCCAGGGCAGCCATCACTGACCCTGCTCCTTTTCTGCACCAGAAGGGCACCCCCCGCCCCGTCCTGAGGTGTAGAGCTACTCACACTTCTCACCTGCTGAGTGCTGAGCCCAGGATGACCTCTACCCACAGCCCCTTTGACCCTCCTCAATCCCAGCTGTTCTTCATGACTCCAACCCCATCCTTCCACCATTCCACTCATTTCTCAAAAATGACAGTCTCACATACCACACGGCTGAGAAGGAGAGGAATGCGAGAACAATCACAACGGCCATGGAGCCCAGCCCGACGCCCACCATCTGCTGCAGCATGAATGACGAATCTGCGGGACAAAACCACACGTTGAGCCCACAGCACGCAATCATGGCCCTCCTGGGAGGCACACGTGCACCTGTGCTCACTCCAGTCTAACCCAGAGCTTAGCCCCATTTAACAAATGCCCAGAGTGCCTCTGTGTCCCCTGAGTCGGCCCTGAGGGTGTAGGACCTAAGGAAAACACAGTCCCGGGGTATTTCTGAAAGGAAATGGAAACGAAGGGCACATTCAAGTTACAAGGGATAAAAAAGGTCATCTTGCTGTGCATACAAATACAGTGGATTGTGTTGCTCGTATTGGTCCTCTCTCAGTCAACTGCACTGAAAGCTTTTATGGGCAGTTTTCCTTTGCATTGAGGAAGAAGTCATCCTGGACTTTTGCTCCAGAAGTGATAGGTAGCTCCAATGAGCAAATATAGCAAATGAATCCTCTCTGATGGATGGAGTCATCTGTCATTTTCCCAACACACCAACAAGGATAGTACCTCCTCGCTCTGCTCAGCAGGTTGCCTTGAGGATAAAGTAAGAAAATTAACGTAGGGCGCCTGGGTGGCTCAGTCGGTTAAGTGTCTGCCTTCGGCTCAGGTCATGATCCTGGGATCCTGGGATCAAGCCCAGCATCGGGCTCCCTGCTCAGTGGGGAGTCTGCTTCTCCCTCTGCCTCATGCCTCTCCCCTAACTTGCGCACATGCGTGCCTTCTCTCTCAAATAAATAAAATCTTTTTTTAAAAAAAGAAAATTAATGTAAAAGCTCTCTGAAAGACATACATATGTTCTATTTGGGGGTGTAACATATGTTGACTGCAGGGAGATCCTTTGCTATAGACTGAAAAACACCCACACTTGAGTTGCACATTTGGGCCAAGTGACTGAATCAGAGCATCATGTTCTACACCAAAGGTCTCATTTTAAATTGCAAACAACTTATTTAGCACTTACGATATGCCAAACACTGTTCTAATGACTTCTCCTAACTACCTAGTGAGTACTATAATAATAGTACCAGGTATTACAATAATAGTGCCTGGCTTAATAACACACTGAGTACTATTATTATTCCCATTTTACTGATGAGGGACTGAGGCACGGAGTTGTTCAGCAACTTGTCCATGATCACACAGCTAATAAACAACAGAGTAAGGATCCAAACCCGAGCTGTCTGGCTTCAACATCTTTGCTTTTAACCACAACACCCTACTTCCCAGTGCAGATCTGAATCCAGTTCTGTCTACAGCAGAGCAGGTCACACTCCCCCTCAGGAGTTAGGGGTGCAGGCCCTGCCCTTTCCTGCAGAGGCTGATGATGATGGGATAGTTCCTCTTTAAAAGAACAAAGGTCTGCATGCAATGGTGCCACCAGACATTGAAAAGATCTTGGGGGCTGATGTTACATATATAGAATTATAAAAGAAAAACACTGCCCAGCCATGGAAGAAGTGTAAGGAAGTGCAACTAAGTCCAAATTTTGCCAGATAATTTGTCATGGTTGTCATTGTCAGAATATGAAATTATTTCACTTTTTGGTACCCTCCTTTTACTGATGCCCCAGGCATATGCTTAGTCTGCCCCTTGGGGCATCCAGTACTGCCTAGGAAGAGCTGAAAACAGCAAAAGCAATGATCTGCTAGGTAAGGAGGAGGGGCTTGAGAGGAAAAACAGTAGCCCCTGGACGTCAGACCCTCGAAACATAGATGACTCGCTTCCCTGGCAGCAAATGAGGCTCATCCGAGAAGAGTTCCTGCTCCTTAACTCTCTCATCACCAAATCTGCGCTATCCAACACAGTAGCCACTGGCCTCAATGTGGCTGTTTAAACCTAAATTAGTTAATTAAAATTAACTAATTTAGGTTTAAACTAAATTAAATTAAAAATTCAGTTTCTCAATCATATCATCTCAAGTGCTCAATTTCAAGTACACACTTCAAGTGCCCAGTAGCCTCATGTGGCTGGTTGCTACCATATTGGACAGCACCACTTTAAAACCGTTCCACTGTTGTAGAGAGTTGCAGGAAGGTACCGTTCAATCTCTACAACCAGGTTAAGAGCAGTTTGGTTCTATTCTGTCACAGGGTAGCTGGCACCAGCAAAAGCAGCCGTGGAATACACTTCTTGCTAAAAAGCGCTGAAAAACCCATTACCTCAGAAAGTGTTGTCAAGAGACTTTCCAGAAAAACATGGCTTATATTGTTTGGCTACCTTTAGGATTCAGAAGAAAAAGGCTTTGACATTTTAAGAAGCCATACTACAGAATAGAAGGAGAAGCTGTGGTTAACTAGAAATTAGTAGAGAAAAAAACTGAGGGAGTGACTTGAATGACTACCTATTAAAACAGTGCAGTATCAGCATCGGGATGACTACACTGGAACGAAATAGTGTAGAAACAAACCCATGTATACCAAATACTTTCCAAGTCAGGTTGTCCAAGTCTGTATTTGAACACCCTAACTGTGGACTCTGGACAAGTTATTCAGCCATTCTGTGCCTCAATTGCCCCACTGAGGGATGATCTAGTAACACGGGAATGATAATAATAGTACCCACCTTATAGGGTTATTGTGAGAAATAAATGAGCTAAGTCCAGTTAGGACTGTGCCCTGGACACAGTAGGCAACTGGCAAATGTCAGCTATGGTTCATTATTGTTGTTTGTTACTGTTTCAAGTCATTAGGGGAAATGACATATTATTCATAATTCGTGTTGAGAAAACTGGCTGACCATTTAGAATAAAGTGATTTTGATCATTAGAGCTTATACTATATATGCCAAAATAAAATCCAGACAGATTAAAGACTTAAATGGAAACCTAGAAGAGTCAGAACAAAGGGTAAATGAATCCTTATCTAAAATATCTCAAGCAGGTACAAATTGTCTAAGCATATTTATTAATGCAGAAACCATAATGCTTACTGCTGGGATCTGCTCTTTCTACCACAGAGCCACCTCCTAAAAGATCTTGCCTGGCCCTTGACCGCAAGTTATCATCAACTACACTTTGCAAACTCTGTCTTCCTCGTACAAATTTCCACGTTCTTTGCTCATCTCTGGTCGACTTAAGTTTGCTCTTCAAGATTTCTTAAAGATCACCTGCAGTTGTTCACCATCTCACTTGCAAATTGTATGAACCTGCTAGAATGTGCTTCATCCAGGTCAGAAGGCATTAATTTATGTGAAGCAGTTAGCTCTTCTCTTGCTTTTAAAATGTACCCCCACAAACCAACAGGACAGAAGCAAAGTTGGAGTTGATGGACCTTTCTCTTGACCATCCACCAGCAGGACATCATTCACCCCAAGCAATGGGCCCACCCAACTATTCCTTACTCTAGATGTAAATATTGGAAAATCACCTTTTTCTTTTTAATTATTCTGCATAACATGACTTGGGTTTTGGCTTCAGGCATGATTCTTGCTGGTATAGGTCTCTTGGTCTACTTTGTATATGTACTCTGTGAAAATCTGAGTCCGTCCAACCCAGAGCCCTTACAGTGTAGCCACACAAGATTTCTTTAGGGATTTTCCCAGTTAATTCCTCACTGAGAAAGTTTACAACTGGCCAATTCGAATTACATTTTTTAGAGCTTTGCTGTCTTCTGGTTACCCTTCCTTTCACGGTTTCATGCTTTATAAAATCATGCTTATTTTTTTTCTGAATCACTTGTAGAATATTCTTTTGGAAACTCAAGTGAGTCATGTGTTATATCACAGTGACTCATTCTTGGAGAGAGTAAATCCATTAGGTTAAACACTGCCTTTCTCTTCAGGGTGGCTCTCAGAGGAGGTACAGTGTTCGTGAGGCGTGACAGGGCTTCTCTGGGCTTATCTTTTAACTCTTCCACTAATGCAAATACCACAGGTGCTGAAGAGCAAGTTAGTAAGACTCCATGCCTACTTTCAAGCTTCCGGACAGCTTGAGAACTTCCTGTGGCTGTCGACATTTTTTCATGAATTTATATGAGCAGGGTCACTTCCTGAAAGCGGTAATCCTGTTCTCCAAAAGGTACAAATAATTTGCACCATGACGTCTAGTTAGCGTGTTAAATTCTTCTTCCGCTATCCTAAGGTCGCCTCACTTGAGTTCTATGCAGAGTGGGTAATGACAAAGAAGATCAAAGTAAGAGATTAATTTAGAGATATGTAACACCTGATGAATCCGCAACATTTTTGAATTCATTTTCTAGTGCAGCTTAACAGTTAGCCTCCACTCATTAGCTCGCAGTTCTGTGGGCCAGGAGTTCAGGCACATTGTGACTGGGTCCTCTGCTCAGCGTCTTCCAAGGCTGAAATCAATGTGTCAAGTGGGCTGCATTTCCCTCTGGAGCCTCTGGGGAAGAATCTGCTTCCAAATTCTTTGCAGATGTAGGACTGAGGTCCCCATATTCTTACTAGCTGCCAGCCATCAGCCACTCAGCTCCTACTGGCCACCCACATTCCTGCCATGTGGTTCCCTCCACCTTCAAAGACAGCAGGAGAAACCCTTATTCATGTTGGATCCATCTCGCCTTTGAATCTCCAATCTCCTGTTTCTGACCTCTAGATCCAGATTTAAAGGGCTCATATGAAGGTCAGGTGCATCTGGATAATCTCCCTACTCGGGACCTTAATTCTTCAAATCCTTTCTCAGCAACACTTAGTATAGCCTTTGAATGAGTAACTGAGAGAAGGTGGGTGTATACCAGTGGCCAGGAATTTGTGAGGCCATATCATAATTCTCCCAGCCACAATGACGAAGGGTTAAAGTATGCGTGTGTGTTTGTGTATGTGTGTATACATACAAGTGCACAGCATATACAAACACATACGTACACACTAGGCTTCCATCTTCTCTGGTTCACTTAAGTATTGCACTTACTGTGCTTCATTTTTCATCCGACTCTACTGCTGGTTGACCAGTAATCCTCCAACCCAATTCGCTAAATTCTGATTAGGTACCAATGTGCACCAGGCACTGCCCCCCTTCTTCAAATGCTCTCCCTCAGGGGTATGCAATCTAGCAAGAAAAGACAAGTGCACCAGTTGCACTATGGTATGGCAGAATGGCTAAAAGAGAGGGAGGGAAGGAGAGAGAGAGAGATCCTGCCCCACTGAGGAAATGAAAAAAGCTTCATGGAGGACATAGCATTTGATTTTAACCTTGACAAACAGGTGAGATTGTAATAAGCTAATAAACAGAGATTACAGGAAGGTCATAGGGCAAGCCAGGTAGAAATAAATAGGTTAATTGTATGAACAAAGACACTAAGGAAAGTAAGTAAGGACCATAACCAGAGAAGAGCAGACACATCACTTTGAATGGAGAAGATGAGAGGCAACCAGAAGGGTAAGCTGGTGTCAAACCGAGGCCTTAGAAACCAGTCTGAAACGTTAATAGAGAACTCTGGAAGAACCACCAGGGGAAGTAATCAAATCAGCGCTACAGTTTAGAAATAGGAGTCAGACGTGTAGGCTGGAGTGAAGGAGCCCCTGAACACCATGGTGGGAGAGGAAGAAGGAGGCTCTACCAGTCATCTATGCTACAGATATAAAGGCCTATGCTCAGGGGGTGAATCCAGACATGAGACGGGCACACCCTAGGTATAAAATGTGGGCTGAAAGGGAAAGGGGAATGGTCACTAATGACTCAGGGGTTTCACCCCTATGACTGAAAAGTGTTCTGTGAATACAGTTTGTGATCATCTCACGCATATCAAATGACCTTGCTTTGTGACTCAAGAAATCAAAGAGCCAGTACTTTGTGGCTGGAAGGGATCTGAGAGATCTCAGTAAGAGGCAATTGAGAACCAGCCAAGTTAAACACAATTTCAAAGACACTCAGCTGTTGAGTAGCAAGGCTCAAGCAAGGAAGCCCAGGCCGCTGCATTTCCCCTCAAGCCAACTGCTGGCTCCCTGGTAGTCATTACAAAGCTCTTTTAGGGGCAATCTGCATAAGGTAAAGAGCAGAATTCCTCCCTGGGCAAAGGTGAGAATGGGTCAGTTGCTTGGCACAGATGAACTGGAACAAGTTCAGGACTAATCTGGATCCTAGTTCTCTCCAAATTACTTTCTGAGATGGCAGTCTCCGACATTTTTGCAAAAGGGGACTGCCAGAGGTGAGTGCATGACATGTAGATATTTATATCAGAATTGCCTTCAGCGTTTTAAGAAACAGTGGGCTTCTCTATTATCTCCAGAGCCTTCCAATAGTATGAATTCAAAGGTTTGAGCTCTCTTTCAACACTGGTTCTTAGGCTGAGGAGGGTAAAGAAGGCATTACCAAAAGCCACTTAGATTCTATTTCCAAAGCAAAATCCTTCCTGTTAACTTCATCACAGTAGCCAGCTCTTTGGCCATTTCTTCTACCCAGTTAGAGTGTTTGCTAATCTTATCAAACAGCTGCTGAAACCAGTGGATTCTGGAAGCTATTTCTAAGCCTGTCCAGGAGGCTTGCACATCTCCATTCTTCAGATAAAAGCACCTCTTTTCTTTGTGGGAACTGCATTCCCACCCTTAGAACCTCAGGGAATGTACTGGCTGAAAAATTTCCAAATGCTGGAACATGTGGTTGTTTCTTGTGGTCTTCACTTAAATTCCAAGACAGGAAGCTAGGCCTATCTGCATGCATTAGTGTAAGAGCATACATCTCTGTGAAGGGAGACCCTCACTAATTATGCTAAGTAAAGTAAGTCAGACAGAGAGAGGCAAATACTATATGATCATAGTTATACAAGGAATCTAAAAAGGCTGAATTCTATATAGAAACAGAGAGTAGAATGGTAGTTGCCAGGGCCCGGGGGGTGGAGAGAAGTGGGGAAATGTTGGCCAAAGGGTACAAACTTCCAGTTATAAAATAAATTAAGTACTGGGGATCTAATGTGCAACACGGTAACTATAATTATCAATACTGTATTATATGACTGAAAGTTGCTAGGAGAGTAGATCTTAAATGTTCACACATACACAAATATATACACAGTAATTTGTGAGGTGATGGAGGTGTTAACTAACCTTATTTAGGTCATTATTTCGCAATACAAATCAAATCATCACACTGTACAAATTAACCTCAATGTTATGTAAATTATATCTCATGAAAGTGGAGGGGTGGGGTGGGGGAGACCCTTGCCGCCTGGCAACCACAATCCAAGATGGCTGATGGTCAGGTAATGCGCCTTGCCCAGTAGAAAAGCCATGTCCTCCGCTCTTATGGAAGTTGGTGTGAGCAGAGATAAAAAGATGGGAAATAAGATTAGAAGATAAGCAGACAAATGAAGGAAGCCTAATTCTCTAGGTCCCTCCCAATCATTTCCTGCTAAGCACCCTCTACTGACAAGGTAACAGATCCCCCACTGTAAAGTGCCCTTTGCTGGGATCCTTCTGGAAGCAGGGTTATGTGGGTACTTCCTTACCACCCCAGCCTATTGTCTCTTGCTGCTCTGAGGTGAGGGGCAGGATGTAAGGGGTTAAACTGATGCTCCAAGCTAATAGCAAAATTTCTCAGGCTGTTGCTAGGACTCATAAACCACAAAGAAAAGGTCCAGATTCAGGGGTCATAAACTTGACAAGATTTCTGGTATTAGATACAAACTCAAGGAATCCCTGGGAATCAAATCCACTGGCTGGCTGGCTGCCTGTTGGTTGAAAGAAACGTACTGCCAGGGAAATCCCACGTCTGGCAGACACAGAGCTGCGATTGCTCAATCCCCGAGGCAGCTCTCCCACCTGGACAGCTGCCCAGGGTAAGGAAGTTTGAGGCTGTTGAGCACTCAGTAGAGCTCCTCCCTGCTGCATCTCATGCACGGACAGCTTTAGAGGAAAGGGCCAGGGTACTTTCCCAGGAAAAGACTGAGGCAGCCCAACTAAGTGACCAAGTGACTCACTCTGCTGCCAGCCAGGGGATGCTTGCTTTGCCCAGCCAGCAGGATGTGGTCATTGTTCTGGACCCCCTGTCCGCTGCACCGCACTTTATCTTTTCTTCCTTTCTAAAAGAAAGTGCTTGTTTGCGCTTGTCCAGTTCCCCCTTTCATGTTACAGACTGTGGTTTGGGAATGTTTACATTTGGCATTTAGTCACCGACTGCTAGTGGATCATGAGAAGTCCACCTGCATTGGATCAAGAGCAATGGACTGTCGCCAGGAATCCTGGTCTTGGAGCTGGATGCAGTAACAGACCCATTTTTGGGTTGTCTTCCAATCGAGTTCCACTTTTGGTTGGACAGAGGATAATTCTTCCATAATGGAGGGTGGTTTTCCTAAAAGTTTATGTGGGGGCGCCTGGGTGGTGCAGTTGGGCGCCCGACTCTTGGTTTGTCTGGGGTCGTGATCTTGGGGTCATGGGATGGAGCCCCACATCAGGCTCCCAGCTCAGCATGGAGTCTGCTTAGGACTCTCTCTCCCTCTCCCTCCGCCCCTCTCCACCCCTGCACTCTCTCTCTCTTGCTCTCTCCCTGTCTCTAAAATAAATAAACAAAATCTTTTTTTAAAAAGTATACACATATGTGTGTGCACATGCTAAGCAGTTAAATGGCTGAAAATAGTGGACTGTTGTGGCTCTTTGTATTGGTCTGCCAACATGTTTTTCTGTGCTTCTTTTCCTGATGGGGATCATGTCCGCCTCTCAATGCAGTCCTGGTGTGTCTGTCAATCACACTGATCTGCCCTCAACCAGTCATATGAGTAAGCCCAAAATCCAAGGTAAGCTGTTTGTAGTGCCTATATATAGTACCGTAGGAGGGGTACTAGTCATCCCACAGACGGTCACTTAATCTAGGAGGAAAGATTCTTTCCCTGAATTGAAAAATCTTCTGTTCCCACTGAAGTTGCTAAACTGGGCAGCTGGTGCCCATCCCTCTCCATCACATGGTTTATTGTAGAAGAAAATGAAGCCAACTCAGAAACAGAAAGCAGAGACAAAGACAGAGTGTCCAACTCATGGTGTCAAGTCCCAAGTTGTCAGTTCCTGGAATCCTGGTGATGCCTCTCTGGGGCTAGGTCCATAAGCTCCCCACCCCCCATCCTTTTCAGCTATGGCTTTTTGCTTAAACTAGTATGAGATGGGTTTCGGTCACCTGTGACAACTAAAAAAGAAATCTCATTAACATAAACTTGATGCTGCAGACCGGACAGGAGAAAAAAAGACAGGATGCTTAGGCAGAAAATGGTTTTACCTTTCACTTGAGCCCAAACTGCACAGGAGCATCTTCTCACCTATGAAGAGAAATGCAGCAACACATTTAATGAAGCAGCACAGAACATCAGTTTAAACAATACGTTTTAGCCCGGAAACTTTAGTGGGTTTTTTTTCTCTTAATTTGGATTAAAATATCCTCATCTAGCTCTAACATCTTATAATTGAGCCATGTGATCACTAAGTATTGGAGGGACTGGCATGGGTAGCAGGGACAGAAGTGACCCTATGGATTAGTTCTGTAGCTTTTCAAAAGATCTCAGAAAGCACACACTATGGGTAAACAGCAGAAATAAATGGCAATGAGTTTCATTCTCCTTGCCAGCTCTGAGCAACTGGCATTGACTGCCTACAAATGATGTTGAAAAATATTCTGAGGTCCCATCCATGTGACAGGGATGTGACAGTGACAGTGATGCACGTGATAGGCAAGGCTATGGGAAGTCTTGGTAAATAATAATACTTCACTGGTCTAGATGATACTTATCTGGCCAAGACCCACAAACTCATTGGAATGAGATACCTTCTTTCTTTCTCTCCCAGTTATTCCATGCATATTTGTCTGTTAGGAACCCCGGGGCTACTCAGCAAAATGTTCCCCAGAGGAAACTAAATAGCAGGGGTCAGAGAAAGATCCCTCCAACTTCAAAAGAAGATTCTCTTTCAAGTGACAACCTTGGGTAGTCTGGTTTTATTAAAAATTAAAAAAAATATATTTTTACACTGAAAAATGCTGGGGAAAACTTGAAATGGCCATAAGCTCTTGAATGTGACTAAATTTTGCCTTGATGCTAAGTGCATCAAGGGCATCTAGTAGAAAATCATAGGCAAGAATAACCAGTGAAAGGGACCTCAAGTAGTAGGGCAGGTACTAGGGAAGTGAGTGTATTAAAGGAGAGAAATTGGTGGGGCCAGGTGAAGAAGGAAGCTCATTAAAATAGAGTGTCGTCACCAGATTTACACTTTATGAAACTCATTCTGGCAGTTGTATGGAGCAAAGAGACAGAATAAGAGACAGGAAGATGAGTTAGAAAATTGATGTTCAGGCAAGAGATGTCAAAGGCTAAACATCATTAATGAAGAAGGAGAGGAAAGGATGATTTTACACAGAATGAAGGTGACAGAATTGACAGAATTTGATGGTGCACTAGACAAGAAGATAAAGAGGGAGGAGACAAGAATTATTCCTTGATTTGTCTTAGCAACTGGGAGCACGGTGATGCTATTTACTTGGACAGATACACAGAAGGAAAAACAAACTGGGAGAATTGGAAAACAAACTTCCTGGTGTCAAATTTTACTACAAAGCTAAAGTAATCACAACAATGTGGTGCTGGCATAAAGAGAGACATATAGACCAATACAGTAGTATAGAGAGTCCAGAGATAAACTTTTGCATATGTCAAATAATTTTCGACAAGGTTAGCCAAGAACATTCAATGAGAAAAGGAAATTTTTTCAGCAAATGGTGCTGGGAAAACTAGATATCCACATGCAAAAGGATGAAGTGGGACCCTGACCTAACACCACATAATTAACTCAAAATGGATCAGATCCAAATCTAAGACCCAGAACAGAAGAAAACATAGAGAAAAAGCTTCAGCAAATTGGATTTAGCAACGATTTCTTGGATATGACATCAAATGCATGGGCAGGGAAAAAAAAAAAGAGAGAGAGACAAACTGGACTTCATCAAAATTAAGAACTTTTGAGGATGTGAAGAAAAAAGAACACTCATGCACTGTTAGTGGGATGCAAACTGCAGTGGAGTGGCCATTGTGGAGAACAGTATGGAGGGTCCTCAAAAAATTAAAAATAGAACTAACCAGTAATGTCACTACTGGGTATCTACCCAAAGAAGAGGAAAACACTGAATTGAAAAGATACATGCACCCCTATGTTTACTGCAGCATTATTTACAATAGCCAAGATAGGGAAGCAACTCATGTGTCCATGGATAGAGAAGATGTGGGGTATATATATACACAACAGAATATTACTCAGCCATAAAAAGAATGACATCTTGCCATTTGCAACGACATGGATGGACCTGGAGGGTATAATACTAAGTGAAATAAGTCGGTCAGAGAAAGACAAATACCATATGACTTCAGTTATATGTGAAATTTAAGGAACAAAACAAATTTTAAAGAGTCAAGCAAAAAAAAAAAAAACCCATACTCTTAAATATAGAGAACAAACTGGTGGCTGCCAGAGGGGAGGTGGGTGGGGGGATAAGTGAAATAAATGAAGGGGATTAAGAGGACATGTATCACAATGAGCACTGAGTAATATATAGAATTGTTAAATCACTATATTGTACACTTGAAACTAATATAACACTGTATGTTAATTATACTGGAATTAAAAAACAAAGAAAGTTGGAACGTTAAAAAATACTAAGAACTTTGTACATCAAAGGACACTTATCGAGAGAGTAAAAAAGGCAACCCATGGAATGGAACAAAATATCTGCACATTGTAAATCTCGTAAGGGATTAAAATCCAGAATATATAGAGAACTCCTAATACTCCAAGAACAAAGAAATAAATAACTCAAATTGAAAACGGGCAAAGGACTTGAAAAACCATTTCCCCAAAGAGGATATACAAGTTGCCAAAAGCAAATGAAAAGATGCTCAACATCGCTAATCATTAGAGAAATGGAAGCCAAAACCACAATGAGTTACCATCTCACATCCATTAGGGGGCCCATTATCAACACAGAAAACAGCAGGTCTTGGGAAGGACGTGGAGAAAATGGAACCCTTATGCACCGTTGGTGAGAATGTAATATGGTGCCGCTGCTGTGGAAAATAGTGTGGCAGTTCTTAAAAAAAATACGAAGAAATTTCACCCAAAACCATAAGATACCTAGGAATAAATTTAACCAAAGAGGCAAAGGATCTGTACTCAGAAAACTATAAAATACTCATGAAAGAAATTGAGGAAGACACAAAGAAATGGAAAAACGTTCCATGCTCATGGATTGGAAGAACAAACATTGTGAAGATGTCAATGCTACCTAGAGCAATCTACACATTCAAAGCAATCCCCATCAAAATACCATCCAGGGGCGCCTGGGTGGCTCAGTCATTAAGCATCTGCCTTCGGCTCAGGTCATGATTCCAGGGTCCTGGGATCGAGCCCCGCATCAGGCTCCCTGCTCAGCGGGAAGCCTGCTTCTCCCTCTCCCACTCCCCCTGCCCGTGTTTCCTCTCTGTCTCTCTCTGTCAAATAAATAAATAAAATCTTCAAAATACCATCCACTTTTTTCAAAGAAATGGAACAAATAATCCTAAAATTTGTATGGAACCAGAAGAGATCCCGAATAGCCAGAGGAATGTTGAAAAAGAAAAGCAAAGCTGGCGGCATCACAATTCCGGACTTCCAGCTCTATTACAAAGCTGTCATCATCAAGACAGTATGGTACTGGCACAAAAACAGACACATAGATCAATGGAACAGAATAGAGAGCCCAGAAATGGACCCTCAACTCTATGGTCAACTCATCTTTGACAAAGCAGGAAAGAATGTCCAATGGAAAAAAGACAGTCTCTTCAACAAATGGAGTTGGGAAAATTGGACAGCCACGTGCAGAAGAATGAAACTGGACCATTTCTTTACACCACACACAAAAATAGACTCCAAATGGTTGAAAGACCTAAACTTGAGACAGGAGTCCATCAAAATCCTAAAGGAAAACAAACACAGGCAGCAACCTCTTCGATCTCAGCCGCAGCAACTTCTTCCTAGAAACATCACCAAAGGCAAGGGAAGCAAGGGCAAACATGAACTATTGGGACTTCATCAAGATAAAAAGCTTTTGCACAGAAAAAGAAACAGTCAACAAAACCAAAAGACAACCGACAGAATGGGAGAAAATATTTGCAAATGACATATCAGATAAAGGGCTAGTATCCAAAATCTATAAAGAACTTACCAAACTCAACACCCAAAGAACAAATAATCCAATCAAGAAATGGGCAGAAGACATGAACAGACATTTTTCCAAAGAAGACATCCAAATGGCCAACAGACACATGAAAAAGTGCTCAACATCGCTCGGCATCAGGGAAATCCAAATCAAAACCTCAATGAGATACCACCTCACACCAGTCAGAATGGCTAAAATTAACAAGTCAGGAAACGACAGATGTTGGCGGGGATGCGGAGAAAGGGGAACCCTCCTACACTGTTGGTGGGAATGCAAGCTGGTGCAACCACTCTGGAAAACAGTATGGAGGTTCCTCAAACAGTTAAAAATAGAGCTACCATACGATCCAGCAATTGCACTACTGGGTATTTACCACAAAGATACAAATGTAGGGATCTGAAGGGGTACGTGCACCCCAATGTTTATAGCAGCAATGTCCATAATAGCCAAACTGTGGAAAGAGCCAAGATGTCCATCAACAGATGAATGGATAAAGAAGATGTGGTATATATACACAATGGAATATTATGCAGCCATCAAAAGGAATGAGATCTTACCATTTGCAACGACGTGGATGGAACTGGAGGGTGTTATGCTGAGTGAAATAAGTCAATCAGAGAAAGACATGTATCATATGACCTCACTGATATGAGGAATTCTTAATCTCAGGAAACAAACTGAGGGTTGCTAGAGTGGTCGGGGGGTGGGAGGGATGGGGTGGCTGGGTGATAGACATTGGGGAGGGTATGTGCTATGGCGAGTGCTGTGAATTGTGCAAGACTATTGAATCACAGATCTGAAACAAATAATGCAATATATGTTAAGAAAACAAAAAAGAAGAAGAAGATAGCAGGAGGGGAAGAATGAAGGGGGGAAATCGGAGGGGGAGATGAACCATGAGAGACGATGGACTCTGAAAAACAAAATGAGGGCTCTAGAGGGGAGGGGGGTGGGGGGATGGGTTAGCCTGGTGATGGGTATTAAAGAGGGCACTGCATGGAGCACTGGGTGTTATGCACAAACAATGAATCATGGAACACTACATCCAAAACTAATGATGTAATGTATGGTGATTAACATAACAAAAAATTTAAATAAATAAATAAATAAAAATAAAAATTGGGAGAGTTCGCAGAAAAAAAAAAATACGAAGAGAATTATCCAACTGTAAATGACCCAAAGAACTGAGATCAGGCACTCAAAAGAGAAATCTGGACACCCATGTTCATCGCAGCCTTATTCAAAATAGCCCAAAGATGGAAGCAACCCAAGTGTCCATCCACAGAGGAATGGTTAAACAAAATGTGGTGTATACACACAGTAGAATATTTAAAAAGGAAGAAATCCTGACACAATGCTACACCATGGGTTAACTTTGAGGACATGAGGCTAAGTGAAATAAGATAATCAAAAGAAGACAAATAATGTCTGATTCTTCTTATATGAGGTACCTGGAGTAGTCAAATTCATAGAGACAGAAAGCAGAAAAGTAGTTGCCAGGATTTGGGGGAGGCAGGAAGGAGAGAGGCACTGCTCAATGGGTATAGTGTTTCAGTTTGCCAAGATGAAAAGAATTCAGGAGACTGGATGCATAACAATGTAAATGTACTTAACGCTAATAAACTGTACACCTAAAATTGTTTATATGGTAAATTTTGTTATACGTATTTTACCATTAAAAATAAACCACTACTGGGCCCCTGGGTGGCTCAGTTGGTTAAGTGACCGCCTTCAGCTCAGGTCATGATCCTGGAGTTCCAGGATCCAGTCCCGCATCGGGCGGGGGGGGGGGGGGCCTCCCTGCTCAGCGGGGAGTCTGCTTCTCCCTCCGACCCTCCCCCCTCTCATGCTCTCTCTCATTCTCTCTCTCTCAAATAAATAAATAAAAATCTTTAAAAATAAAAAAAAATAAGAATAAATATAAACCACTACTAAATGTTCTGGAATTAAATAGTGGTAATGGTTCTACCACCTTGTGAATACACTAAAAACCCCTGAATTGTATACTTCATTTTTTATTTTATTTTCTTCATCATCTTAACCATTTTTATTCTTTTTTTTAAAGTCTTGAATTTATTACCTTTTTTTTTTTTAAAGATTGTATTTATTTATTTGACAGAGAGACAGAGAGAGAGGGAACACAAGTAGGGGGAGTGGTAGAGGGAGAAGCAGGCTTCCCGCTGAGCAGGGAGCCAGAGGCGGGGCTCGATCCCAGGACTCTGGGATCATGACCTGAGCTGAAGGCAGACACTTAACGACTGAGCCACCCAGGCGCCCCACTTTTATTCTTAAAAAACCACTTCTATTCTTAAAAAAATTTTTTATATGGGTATAGTTGACATGCAACATTACATTAGTTTCAGGTGTACAACTTAGTCATTTGACAAGTTTATAAAAGATGCTATGTTCACCACAAATGTAACTACCATCAGTCCCATTATATCACTATCACCATATCATTAACTATATTCCTTATGCTATAAATTATATACTTTAAATGGGTGATTAATATGGTATGTGAATTGTATGTCCATAAAACTGTTTAAAAAAGAAAAATAAATAGTTCACTACTAATTTTAATATGACTGTAACACTAATAGATTGGAAACCCATAGGGGAAGTAATTGCAATTGAAAAATGCAAGTCCCAATATAAATTTTTTCCGAACGCCTTCGCCTCCTTAGCCTCCCAAAGACGAGTTCTGCGAAGCTATATGAAAAAGAGGTATCCATGACATCAGAGAAAAGTTTCCTATAAACTAGGATTTGTATCTTAACCTCTCAATTATCTGTGTTATGGATTGAATGTTTGGGTCGCCCAAAGTTCATATATTGAAGACCTAGCCCCCAATATGATGGTACTTGGGAGTAGGGCCTTTGGAAAGTAATTAGATTCAGATGAGGTCATGAGGGTGGGGACTCCAGGATAGGATTAGTGTCCATATAAGATGAAGAAGATTGACCAGAGCTGGGTTGCACGCTTTCTACCATGTGAGGACACAGCAAGAAGGCCGCTGTCTGAAAGCCAGGAAGAGGGCCTTACCAAGGAACCAAGTCAACTGGTACCTTAATCTGGGACTTCCAGTTTCCAAAGCTGTGAGAAATACATTTCTGTGGTTGAGGCCACCCAGCCTAGGGTATTTTGTTATGGCAGCCCGTGTGTACCCATGTACCTCTTAGACTGAAGGCTCAATCTGGGAGATTAGCTCTCTGTGCCCTCCCTACACCGTACTCATATGGTACTGCTAGTGCTGTATCTTCGGCTAGAAATGCCAAGGCAGGATCTCCAGGTAAGCTTCTAGCGAGAAGTCCCTGTCTGAGTCATAAACACCTTGTAAATAAGTTCAGGGAAATATATTCTGGGCTTTAGCCTGCCAATTCTTAATTCCTACGTTATTGTCACAAAACACTACCAAATCTCTTTGCTACTTGTACATATTCTTAAAAGTAAGCACTGATTTACTATCAAGTACGATAATGGCACATTAGACTTGTGTCCTATACAGAATCTAACAGAGTATGTGTCAGTTTTAAATATGGGATGGGAGCACCTGGCTGGCTCAGTCAGTTAAGGGTCCGACTATTGATCTCAGCTCAGATCTTGACTTCAGGTTGTGAGTTCAAGCCCTGTGCTGGGCTCAAAATAACTAACTAACTAACTAACTAAATAATGAACCTTACTCTCAAAATGGCTCCAATTCATCAGTCAAGAGCTGTTTCTATTAGTATAATTTTCTTCTAGTTTCCATTACCAATCTATATGAATTTATATCACACTTTGAGTTCTCCTGGGGCAACCATCACAATGGTTCTTCCAGATCTTTCATCCCTGACTCACTGATTCAGCTCTTGCTATTCTGCTTGTCCAGCTCACTGTATTTACTCATTATGCAATGAATCTATAGTTCTATGTCTCATGAAAGAACCACCACTGGAATAACGCAGGCTTTCCAAGGATGAGGAGAGGTGGGGGTGGCCAAGGAAGTCAAGGAAGCAGAAAATAGGGCAGCGCTGACATTCATCTGCCTCGCCTTCCTGTTCCGAGAGGGTGAGGGGAGGCAGCAGCCTGGCAGGAGCACAGGGAAGTGACAAAGAAATCCAGATGTTCCTCTTCAACTCAGGCTTCAGCAGGGCATTAGGATGAGGGGATCTGTGAAGCTTAAGAGGAAGAACCAAAACGAGGTCAGTCCAAGCACAGATCCCACCAGGTCCCGCAGGAAGTTCAGACCATCAACCTCCTTAAAGGTCTCACCTGCCCATCATTTATACAGGCAAAGTATTCGACACATTTTTATGGTTCGTACATGCAGTGTCCATCCCAAATAACAGGGAAACAAATGTTCAAATATTGACATTTCATGCGAAGAAGAAAATAGAGAATTCACAAGTTTTTAAAAGAAGTATACCTTATTCCATTCACTTGTGATTCGTAATATAATGCAGTAATCATTCCCTTTTTTCAAAGGTGCATTATAGTATTTCCCATAGTACAGCCTGTCTCCAATAGATATCTCCGTGGCATCATCTGGAACATCTCTGGCCAGTAGTTCTGCAGCCACATATCCCTCAGCGTCAGAAGTGTTGCTAAAGAATGAGGTGGTCCCTTCAGAATCACAAAAAAATGTGCTTTGGAGGGCCAGGGGAAACACTAACACCTGATATGAACTGGAAAAAAGAAAAAAGAAAATGTCTATCAGACCCTTGCTTGGGGGAGTCGTTCGTTCAATTATTCATATGTATTGAGCACTTGCTATGAGGGAAACACTTTTCTGGGCACTGGAGATACATCCCTGGACAAGAAAAAGTCCTTGCCCCCGGGGGGATTTACAGTCTGACAGCTCCCACACTTAGGGAATTCCAGTTTGGACCTACAGTGCTAATGCCCCATGACACAATGTGAGGGATCTCAAGTTCCCGCCGCAGATGGATGCCAAGTAAACCCTCTTGAGCTGCGAGAGGTTGTTACATGTAGGGCTGCCCTGAGTGTGCATGCCACACAGCTGATCTCATCAGGGGTTTCCACGTGGGCAAATGAAACCCAGCAGGGGAAAGGGTTTAGCAGTCACATGGAGGCTGCCTGCCTACGAGCGTTAATGTACTAAGTCTGCAAAAAGGCTCCAATCACATGGTAAGCTGAAACGGAACTCATGTGATCTGCATTCCCTCCAGTTCACAGATACCAGAGTTCATGTGAAATAAATGAGAAGGAGTGCCAAGTCACCGTGCGTTAATCTAGCCTGACCATGTCCTGAAATAGGCAGAAAGGTAACATGTCGTGTGTACGTTGTGAAACCGTTCCCCCACCGTGGACAGAGGATCACACTAGCCAGCAAGCATCATTTTGTAGGTGTTTTGTTATTGTTTATCCCACCAAATACAAAACCTGTCAGCGAAAGGAGGTGTAAGAATAAAAACACACCAACAATGAATCATGCCTCCTTTTTCAACCCCTTCCCGCCTTCCTTCTCTCCTGCTTCTAGGATAGCACATGTCTGAACATCTGCTTTCTCTATCAGGCCTGACAGCAGGCATTTAAATGACTTACTCCTGTATCCTTGCAAATCCTTACCCAGTTCTTTGGCTGTGACTGACTCCCCACTAATGTTTCTTGAGTTGACGTTTCCATAAAGAGGAAAAACACGCATTGGTACCAAAGATGATTAGGATAATTTCCAAGCCATGAGGCCACATAATCTATTTTACTAGCAAATATACACTTCCTGTTCCACATTCCTAATGCCCCATCTCCTGCCTTCGAAAAGTCCATGAGTCACTAGGTTAAGGAAAGGGAGCCCTCCACCAGAGTAGGTCTGGGACTTGGAAAGCCTCCATCCCAAACATCCTATGTGTCTTCGGGGCCCTGATTTCCACAAAGTCTGGGCTCACTTTCCAGCAAAGAGCTTTCTACACAAGGTACAAGGTAAAGGCTACAGGGCGGTGAGTTGCTGCCACCAGCACCAGTAAACATCTATGAAGCATCCACTGCCTACAGAGGAACGCTTGTAACAGCACACTTTCCCGGCGACTTGAAGACATCCCTATGAATCATGGCTGCAGGTAAGAGAATAAAGGGTGCAGAAGCTCCAGGCTGTCCTCAAGCTCCTCTTCCAATCCAACTTGCCTTTCCATGTAGATGGTGGCATTCAAGTGCAACCTCAAGGCTCACCTTTGGCTCTGGACATTAGAGGCACCATTCATGGGGCATAAAGCAGTCTCCCCAGTTAGCATGATCATAATCACCTGAGTTGCTTGATAATTATAAATATTTCCAGCCCCCATCCCAGACCTACTGAATCGAAATCTCCAGGAGCTGAGTCTGAGAATTTGTACTGCTGCTAGGGCAACCCAGATTATTTCTCTAAGTTGGCAAGTGTGGGAGACACTAGCATTAAGAGACACCAGGAACAGGCTGCATCATTCACTCAAGATCACCAAGCTAAGGAGGGGAGCCTTGCTCCCAGGGCCCCGTTCCACCATGTGCCCCACGCCACTGCCCCCCGCCACCAAACAATGCAGAAAGCAGACTCAGGCCTGTCTCCCACACTGGCAAAGCTGCTCCCCCTGCTCAAACCAGGTAGTCAGGGAGAGGAAACTGCTCCACTTGCCTGTTGGTAATTAACCCTGATGACGTTAGGGAAGCAGTTGTGACTGTTTGTAACGTGACTGTTCTGGAAAGACTTCTCCCCTCTTTCTCACCGCCACCCTCCCTGGAATGACTCACAGATCTCCACTTCCTGTTTTGGAGGCACTGGGGGGCACATTAGCCACAAGGATAGACTGTCATTTGGCTTTTCTTTTTGCCTTATGTAATTATTGGCCTACATACTACATTTGCTCTTGCAAATTCTCTCAGGCAGTGATATCATAACTTCTGTTCTCCTCATAGCAACAGAATGGCAGTGCCTTCCAGTAACTCATCAGGAATCAAGAAACAGAACAATGTAGGCAATGCCTGGAAAGACCTTTGAGAACTTACTGCACTTAAACTAATGGAAAGACAGGAAAAGCCTAAGTTTCATTATAAAGAGACACACAGAGGCGCCTGGGTGACTCAGTCGGTTAAGTGTCTGACTCGATCTCAGCTCGGGTCTTGATCTCAGGGTCATGAGTTCAAGCCCCACACTGGGGCTCCACACTGGGCACGGAGCCTACTTAAAATTAAACAAACAAGCAAAAAAAGAGACACACAGATAATATATCCAGACTTTCTTTTTTATAATTTTATAATATCTCACATTTATTTTCACCTTGAATGTACTGAAGGGTCATTAGACTAACAGGTCAAGAATGACATAAGGCAACAAAGGTTAGGTCAAGGATGGCAAGGCTATTGCCATGTCCTTGCCTTATTCCTGTGAGCAAGGTGCTTATCTCTCCAGGGGAACCTCTATCTTCCTTTCTAAAAAAAAAGGTGGGGGGATAATTCTGCTTCCTAATCCAAGCATGACCCTGTAAATAAAATGCTTAATGGAACACAATGTAGTTCTCCAAGTCAGGTGATTTAATTCCATCCTAATACCATCTGGAATCCCAGAAGCAGTCATTAGCTACACAGCGTCTTGCCTATAACTCAATGTGTGAACAAATTAAGAGAATTATCCAAATGACCCTTTCAGATCCACTACACACACCCAAAGACCATCTTTAAATGAAATGATGCTCCTGGTCCACCATCACTGAGAGACGTACATGAAGAGGTGAGTGCAAAGGATTAACACCTTCCACATCACACACAGTCAATGCTTGTCCGGCCGGTGACCAAAGGAAGGGATTTCATTTTTTGAGCTAAGCTGCCCAAATGCCTGTCTCTGGCTCCTTAGAAGTCTCTCTATTCATTTGGAAGGATGCTGGTTGGAACTCAAGGCCCAGTCTGTGGCCAAGGAATCAAAAACAAGAGGCCCTGATTGCACTGCCCCAACTATTCAAGTGCAGCACCTAGGAAGTCCCCTCCTCGATCAAACCAAAGTTTCTTAAGACTCTCCATGAGGACCACTGGGCAACCACGGAAAAGGGGCCACTACCCACCTGATAGGTCCATTTTTCTCCTTGGCTTTCCTCAGTCTCAGACGTGGTAGAGACCCTCCATGCACTGTGACAAAGTCTACTTCCGGAAGGGGAGGCTCTGGAAACAAGCGGAAAAGAGGAAAAGGGTGTGATTGGAATGAGTGGAAGCATGACAAAAGTGGTCGTCGGGGAGCCATCGAAAGGAAAGTTTTAATGTAAAAAGCGATCAGCGTTTTCTGACACCTGCTACCACATGGATGAATCTTGAAAACCGTATGCTACATGAAATGAGCCAGACTTAGAAGGATGATCCCTCTTCTATGCAACATCTGGAACAGACAAATTCATAGACACAGAAGTAGATTAGAGGTTGCTGAGGACTGAGGGGTGGGTAGGCAAGGGAGAGTTAGTTGCTTAATGACCAACGGAGATTCTGTTTGGGGTGATGAAAAGGTTCTAGAAATACAGTGGTGAGGGTTTACAGCATTGTGAATGGACTTAATGCCAATAAATTTTGTGCCAGAAAATGGTTAAAATGGTACATTTTATGTTGTATATTTTAAATCCACAATAAAAAAAATTTTTTTTAAAGTGAATCCCCAGTGCTGACAGAGGGTGCACACAGCGGGCCTGACAGTTAACTTGCTGGACAGGTTCCTATTTGGTGGGGAAGACCAGCATTTCTGACTTCTAGATCCTTTCCAGTCACAGAGCATTCTGTCCTCACTTTGTTCTCCCCAGCAACTAGATATCCCAAATAGACCTTCTACTGGGAGGGGACTATATCGGCTGACACCAGCATTCTAGTATCTAACTGGTAGTTACGTTCATAGTATGAATGCACCATTCTGCCTTGTGGGTACCTCAGCTCAGATGCACTAGGCACTAAGGAAATGCACTAGCTGCGTCCTGCACAGGCCTCATCCCATATAATCTTCTCAACATTGCTATGAAGTGAATGAGAGTTATAGAGGGAGAAAGGAAGAGAAAAAGACAAAGAATAAAATATGAATGCCTCCCCCAGGTATTATATAAGACTGATGAATAGCTGAGCTCTACCTCCGAAACTAATAATACACTATATGTTAGTTGAATTTAAATTAAATTAAAAAAATAAAAAATAAAAAAACATGAGTGCCCCCCCAACCCTGGCCTTAAAATCTGTTACAGTGAAATTAAGGACTAGGAGGCCAAGATAAACACTCAAGAGCTTATTTACCCAATTAGAAAATAACCTTGGTGGGCACCTGGGTGGCTCAATTGGTTAGGCGTCTGCCTTCAGCTCATGTCATGATCCCAGAGTCCTGGGATTGAGCCCCGCATCTGGCTCCCTGCTCAGTGGGGAGTCTGCTTGTCCCTCTCCCTCCACTCATTCTCTCTCAAATAAATAAATAAAAATCTTTAAAAAAATAAAATAAGAAAATAGACTTGGGGTAGAAATTCCCAACCCAAATTATAATAAATAAAAACTTATACCTTCCTATATTGTTTGTGGGCTTTTTCTGGGGGGGGGTAGGGGCAGAGGGAGAGGAAGAGAGAATCTTAAGTGGCTCCATGCCCAGTGCGGAGCCCAACGCAGGGCTCGATTTCACGACCCTGAGATCATGACCTTGAGCCGCAATCAAGAGTCGGACACTTAACCGACTGAACCACCCAGGCGCCCCTAACCGCCTAGTTTTTAAATTTTTTTCATTTTTAAAAAAGATCTTATTTATTTGTTAGTGAGAGCACACAAGCAAGGGGAGTGGCGGGCAGAGGAAGAAGCAGGTTCCCCGCTGAGCAAGGAGCCTGATGTGGGCCTCAGTCATGACCTGAGCTGAAGGCAGAAGCTTAACCACCTGAGCCACCCAGGCGTCCCTAGATAGTTTTTTAAAGCACTCTCAAATATGATGGTTGCCAGAGGGTAGGGGGTTGGGGTGGACAAAATAAGAGAAAGAGATTAAGAGTTAAAATCTTCCAGTTACAAAATAAGTAAGACATGGGAATGTAATGTACAGCATAGGGAGTACAGCCAATAATATTCTAACAACTCTGCATGGTGACAGACGGTAACTGGAGTTATCATGGTGACCATTTCATAATGTATATAAATATCAAATTATCATGTCATATACCTAAAGCTAATACAATTTGTATGTCAATTATTCTTCCATAAAAAAGCTCTATCGAATATGTTAATTATACATCACCTACCAACCCATTTGTTAGCCACCTTTATACCCATGCATCCTGGGAGGCTGGGAGAAACAGCCATGGAAGACACAGTTTCTGCTTTCCAGGAGTTCGAAGTTTCACGGTGGAGACAGTTTCGTAAACACATGGCACTTAGAGCTACGATAAAGTCATACATGGGGCATTGTCGGCGTGCAGAGGAAGAACACCTGACCAAGGGCAGGGGGTGGAGAGACCATCGAATGCTGAAATGCATGTACCCAGGGGCAGGTGGTAGGAGAGCGAGCAGAGACAGAACCGCAACCCTACATCCTGCAGGAGTTCAGGGATGCTGGAAGGTGGAGTCCCGGCCTAGGACAGGCACACAACCAAGGGGGAGGTGTGGGGATAGGTCAGACTCGGGGTCCTGGAAACAAGAAGTCATTTACAGAGTGTCAGCAGATGTGGATTTTAGAAATGCAATTTAGACAGCTGGTTGGAGGATGAACTGAAAAAGAACAAAAGTACAGGTTGTCCAAGACTCTAGGTATGCAGTGCCTGAGGTCTGAAGCAAGTGATGGACTGAGAATGGAGAAGAGGTGGCAGATGGAAGAGACACTTGGGGCCACTGAGAGCCCCCAATAACTTGTATAAAACACTGCCAAGTCTAGAACTTCTTCCAAAGTCACCCAGATATGGTCACATAAATTCTGGTTTCTGTAAGCCTGTGGGATTGCTGGGGACCCTCGAGGTGGCCTGAAATGGCCCCTGCTTACAGCAGAGGTCTCACAAAAGGTGTTGAAGGTCTACCTCATTTCCAAGAGATTCTGGATCTGACACCCCTGAGGAAGACAGCTGCAAGCTTCCTGCGGGGGTGAAGGGGAGAGGGGGCTGAGATTTGAAAAACCCCCGACCAGGTCCCCCAGGGGAATGTGCCCCTTCTAGTTTGAGAAATTCTGCCCTCAGCCCTTCACTCGAACATGGAAATGCCCTTTCATTTGTGATGTTTTGCTGTCACCACAGAGTAAGTGGTTTTTATCACACACTTCCTGTTTTCAGCCCCAAGGGAGATTTACTGTTCACTCTGTGTGTGAGAACCCTCCTCAGCCTCTTTTAAATTGTTTGCTCTTCTCTGAGATTAATAATTCTAGTTCTTCTAATCTCTTGGCTAACCTTTTAAGGCCCCCCCCCCGCCCCTTTCTCATCGCCCTCGGTCAAAGCAGAACAAAGTGCTTGCTGGGCTTGCAGAAGGCGGGCCCACGGAGGGAGCAGGAAGCACCCCCCCGCCCCGCCCTTGTTGCTAGTTTCTGCCATCCAGCTGATCCTATCACCATGTGACTTCCAGACTGCTTTCTGCTCTGAGACCTTCCCCACCTTGGCTTTTAAACAGGAGACTTTTTCTCTCTAATGTCAAAGCCTGAACTTCATCAGGCTCGTTCTTAGCTACATTTCAAGGTTAAATAACCTTAATTTCCAGCCATGTTTCCAGGGTGCTGTTCCCCATCCCCCAAACTGGTGTCCTGGGCAGATGTGTTCTCTCCTTTCCATGAGCCTCATTACTGATTTAAACCAGATCAGACCCAAGTCCAGAATCAGGTCTCGTCTGAGCTGGAGAGTGTAATTCTTCCACCCTGGGTATGTGAGGTGGGGGAGGACCCAGAAGGGAGAACCTCATTACCATTCCTAGGTGTCGACAATATCCATCCTCTACTTGAAGCAAACGACAAAGGAAAACAGAAGGGCTACCACGTGAGAAAACCTTGCAGAGTAAGGAGAAAAGCAATGAAGGAGAACGTGCCCTACAAAATATTATATATAGTATAAAATCATAATAATTGAAAGAGGTGCAGGCATATGACAGGCAAAACAATGGAAGAAGCTAGACAGTCTAGAAAGAGACCCAACAAATAAATGAGAATATAGTGTATGACATGAACAGTCTTTCCAAACATGGCGGGAAACTGGCTTATCATTTAGGGGAAAAAATTACCGTGTAAATTTAGCCTTATACCACGTATCAAGATGCATTCCAAGTGGGTCTAAGTTTAAAGGTGAAAAGCAAAACTATTAAGAAGCATTAGAGGGCCACCTGGCTGGCTCAGTGGGTAGAGTGTGTGACTCTTGATCTTGGGGTAGTGAGTTCAAACCCCACACTGGGCGCAGAGCTAACAAAAAAAGCAGCAGCAGCATTAGAAAACATTAAAGAATAAGAATTGATCCGGGGCGCCTGGGTGGCTCAGTCGTTAAGCATCTGCCTTTGGCTCGGGTCACGGTCCCAGAGTCCTGGGATCAAGCCCCGCATCGGGTTCCCTGCTCCATGGGAAGCCTGCTTCTCCCTCTCCCACTCCCCCTGCTTGTGTTCCCTCTCTTGCTGTGTCTCTCTCTGTCAAATAAATAAATAA